CACCCGGGTAACTTGCGAGTTCACCCGTCGGGTAACCCGGGTAGTATTTTTTTGATCGGGTACAAACACTAGTCTTGACTAGAGTTTGGAACCGGATTCACTTTTTTAATCCGGATTTATTTTAATTAGTAAAAATCTGCATCGGATTTTAATCCGAATTTATTGTATAAATCCGGATGTTTCATGCATTAGCGTCTTCTCGTGATATAATACATGATAATTAACCAATTATAGTTAACTTTTATTTATAGATAACGGTAAGCGTTTTTTTTTTTGGTCTTTATTTAATACTTTTTATCCGTAATATAAGCAGAAATAGAAATTTAACCTATGTAAGCTCTATATAAATTGGTGTTTTTTTTTTTTTTTTTGAGAAAAACTGATAATATACTCTTTTTTATAGTTTAAAGTTTTTCTTTCTTCGTTGACTGTCACTGGACTTTTATAAAAAAATTGGTTAGAAAAAAAAAAAAGAAAAGATAATACTTATCAAAGAAAAAGAACTATTCGTCGTTCTCCAAAGGTGGAAACATAGGAAAGTATATAGTATTCCGCTTTAAAAATAAAATACGATTGACTAAATCAGGAGCTAATCGAGTTCTTTTCGCCGAAATATTATTTCCAGCATCAGAAAACAATCGTTCACTAGGAACTGACGTAGCGGGGATTGAAAGGTATTTACGTGCTAGTTGTGATAAAATAGGGTAACTTGTTTGATGCCCTCGCCACCAAACTAAAGGATCAACATTTTTTGGTTCTTCAGGATAATATAAATAACGAGTAACTTCATCTTCCGTTTGTACATGATTATCGGCCCACATTTTCGAGAATATGTCTTCAGTATCATTGATCAAGTTCATTGTTGAATACGGCACCTCAAGATTTTTATTGGTTATCTCTTGCTTAAGCTGAGTATATAAATCCCTTAAAAGGAACTCAGCTTGTGTTTTTTGCTGTACACGATCAGGTTCATTCATAAACGGAAAATTTTTCATTCTAGGATCCAATATCATTGCGGTTAAAGAACTTTTATTAGGCATTTCCCATAATTTGTCTAAAGAAAGATATATAGCAGCTCGAACTTTTTGGATAAGATTTTCTGTGTTAACTGGTTGTAAGTATTCAATTTGATTAATTTCTTGTTCATCTTTATTGCAATTACGACCTTGACCCCGACCTTGACCCCGACCTTGACCCCAACCACGACCACGACCACGACCACGACCATAGGTATTTTTCATCCTCTGTTTAAACTGTTGATATGCATGCCGCAAATGTCATCGAGTCCCTGCTGTTGGAATATTATCATTATTGCTCGTGGAACTTGAATCACTATTATCATCATTTTCTAACTCATCTTCCGATACCAAAGGCCCATAGATTAGATCTAAATAGCTATCAATAGTTTCACCTTCTTCAATCCTTAGTGCGAACACTTGTTTTAACGTATATATATATGGATGAACCATATTTAATGTTGGATATGTAGCACCTGATAATCGTCGAGTTATAGCTTCAAAAGGTTCGAGTAGTTTGATCATTTCTTAAACGAACCTATATAAAATTACCAGTAATATTAAATCAAAGAAAATAAAAACGTTAATTAACAAATAAATTTATAAAAAAAAAAAACAAAAAACATAAATAATAAGAAAT